AAGGAGGTGACATGTGAGTGGCTTTGAAGCATGAATAGGTGTTTGCCCCATTAGACAAGGGGAGTGCAGGGCAGCAGAGCGACAGCACAGTTAAGAACACAGGCTTTTTTTTGTTTTTATATATATTTTATTGATTTTTTACAGAGAGGAAGGGAGAGAGATAGAGAGTTAGAAACATCGATGAGAGAGAAACATCGATCAGCTGCCTCCTGCACACCCCCTACTGGGGATGTGCCCGCAACCCAGGTACATGCCCTTGACCGGAATCGAACCCGGGACCTTTCAGTCCGCAGGCTGACGCTCTATCCACTGAGCCAAACCGGTTCCGGCGAGAACACAGGCTTTTGGAGCCAGAGGGCCTGGATTGCTGCCTCTGCTACCGCTTCCTAGATGTGCACAGGGAACTTACCTAAGACCACTGAGATTCTTCCTGTACCTTGAGTTTCTTCCTTTGCAAAATGCAGTGATAACATAGTAATAACAACAGCTAACAGGCATTGAACATGTATTACGTGTCAGGTCCTGTCCTATCCATGCCTTTTCACACTTTGTCCTAACCACCACTGCATGCACGGTAGGTCCTGTCACTATCCCCCATTTTACAGATGAGGAAACTGAGGCACAGACAGGTTAAAAACATGTATGTAGCCCAGCCTTCCTCTCTCTCAGGGTTTTTGGGAGGCTGAGACCCACAGAGAGCTTGGCACTGTGTCTAGCATGCGGCAAGTGCTCAGCAAAGGGTGGTGGTGAAGATGGTGGGTAGGACCCCAAAGGCACAGGAGAGGGAAGGGTCCGGCTAGAGTCAGGAGATGGAAGTGGCCCGATGCTAGAGGCTAGAGGCCAGGGCCCAGCGCAGGCTCACGACCCGCAGGTGTGGGAAAGCCCCACCTCCCAGGAAGGCAGAGCTGGTCATCCCACTGCTGTGGGGAGGGGGGGCCGCCCCAGAGTTGCTGCTTTTGTCAGCTCCAAAACGTACGACTCATGACTTGTTCTCCAATGGCTTGTTCAGGGGATTGAGCAGAAATTTGAGCAAAGATGACTTGTTGGCTGGGGCTAAATT